CCAAAAATAATATAAAAGTGGATAATAAAGCCCAATATTGTCTAAAACAATAGATAATATAGCGTGAAGCAATCAAAAATTATAGATACGTTGAAGACGTATCACACCCTGCTGCCTCTCTTTCCCAATGATGATGCTGAGATCAAGCGGTCAATTGAGAATGCCCATGGCATCATCGACAACGATCCCTGCTGCCTCTCTTTCCCAATGATGATGCTGAGATCAAGCGGTCAATTGAGAATGCCCATGGCATCATCGACAACGATCCCTGCTGCCTCTCTTTCCCAATGATGATGCTGAGATCAAGCGGTCAATTGAGAATGCCCATGGCCTCATCGACAACGATGGTGTCGTCTTTCTGTACAACCCTTTGTACACATGCACGCGCGTTTTCACGGTAGCCGCTCTGCGTCCCGGTGATACAGCATGGACAGTCATGAAGACCAATCTGGCCGCCTGGGATTCCCACTCCTTATGCGTGGCATATCACAACGGCAAGGTCTTGTGGCGCATCAGCTTGCGCCCTTGGTTTCTACTAACACAAGATGGCATTGGTGGCTCCGTGAGGTGTGACCCCGTCGACAAAATAGGTTATATTCGCGTTGACAACTACATCTTGAGGTGCCTCTGTGAGGTGCCGAATGCTCGCTCGATCGATCGCCGCACGTCCCTGCCGCTATAACGCGCACACAAGCCTTCCACTCATCCAACATCTGCTGCAACTCACTGATTTCGCTGCCTATTGCCTTAACTGCCGAGACACTTCCCATTCCACCGTATTGCTCCTTCTCGTTCTCGTCTAATCGCAAATGACCTTTTTGAAATACATTGCCCGCCTTTTTTTATCAGTTTAGACTTTTAGATGAGTTAATTGAAGCATGAATCTCTACTCCTAAGGGATGAGTTGGTAGTCTCCGTTCCACGATCTTTTTCATCCTACCTTTCGCTGGTTTTTTTCGGTACCACCTCCCACCTCAAATTATTCCCTTCGAACCGACCACCTCGTGTGATTCCCCCACGCAATCGACACCCAATACTCACGTCCCACCACAAAAAAAACGGACGAAAATAAACCTACCATAAAAAACCAGCGGAAAAAAAAAACGACGGCAGGATCGTGCGCGAGGCCTCCTGCCCTCGACCGCCGCACGACTGCATAGCAGGTCGTGAGGCGCCGCCGTACATTCCTTCGCCCCAGATCCATCCTTCCGCCGCCGTCTGTTCATCCCTTCGCCGCCGTTCCATCCCTCCGCCGCCCTCCATCGGACCATCCCCCGTTAGGACCTGCCGCGGATCACGTCCTGCTTCCGACGGTGATCCGAAAAATCACCACTGCTGATCCCCATCGGAACCATCCCCGGTTAGGACCCGCCGCGGATCACGTCCTGCTTCCGACGGTGATCCAAAAAATCACCACTGCTGATCCCCGTTGATGAGCCGCCGCCGAGGTCATTGCGGATATAGGGTATTATTCCAATCTCATCCGACGGCAATCCACAACAACCCCACTGCTGATCCCCGTTGAGGAGCCGACGCCGAGGTATTTGTTGAAGCTCATACAGACATTGCAATTTCGTTCACAGTACATTCAGCCATTGCAAGTTCATACATCCATTGGAAGTTCATGCTCGTGTTAGTATATGTTACAACGAAGCAGTAAAGTTTCTCTTCCTGCATCAAAATGGAATAGAAACCATATCAGTACCTCCATTCATCCTCGTGTCAGCCATTTAAAAGCTGTGATGCAGGAATAGAAACTTTAGTGCTGCAGTGTAATGTCCTGGACGTATAAAAAGCTGATATTTGCCTTCTGAAAAAAAGTTGGTGCTGGTCCTTGCCTTCTGAAAAGCAAGAAAAAAGGCAATATGTTAATTTGCTACATATACCTCGGTCAATTGTCTTTTCATGACAGAAAGCTGCCATTACAGTGGTACGTATGGGGAATTCAAAAAGCAAGGCAAGTGAACATGAACCGGGGGAGTACTTAACTACAGGTATATTACACGCTATCATAAATTCGTACACATGGCAAGCATCCTGCCCTTCCGATGACGACGGTCTATAATTGTGCAAATGAGAAAACAGCAAGGCTTTCATTTACACACACACAGTTGTTGATCTGAATAACTTTGTTTCTACGAAATAATGAGACCGATAACAATGATAAAATTATTACTCTTACCACTTACACGTATATCTACCCCTACTATGAAAAACAGTGCATGTTGGACCGACATGCTAACCACTTCCAGAAACTGAAGAAACAATGAACTAGAGTAAAGTAAATATACAATTGGTGCGAACCACCCTCCTTTCCCTTATTCGCGAGTAATGTGTAACACATCCATCAAGAATAGAAACAGAGGATCAGTTTTAAAACCTGGTTGTTGGTGTTGTTGTTGCTGCCGTTGTTCGGTGGCGATATGTATGCTTACGATTGCCATTCGAACCAGAGTCGAACACTACTCTGTTTCATAACTCTCAAAACCACAGCAGGCATGCTACATTGTAAGCAAATGCAGTACAGTTACAGTCCCTAATGCAAGAGGTTTCACACTCTTCCGTGCTTTTGGCATCTGAGAACCAAGATTTCTGAGGGGGTTTTTTTTTGTAAAAGAAGGGCTCTACCCTTCCGATTTTCATTAAGAAAACCATAGCAGTAGATCTCCGAGGGAATATGTTGATGCGGTCTGTTGGATAGAATACCGCTTGTAGACGAGTTGAACTGCCTCCTTACAGTTCGTAGGTACCTTCCTAGAACAGCCAAGATCCATCTTGGGGGTTATGCTTAAATAATCAAAAGCAGCAGGGCATGTGCAAGAGCCTGACCTTGTGAAGTATCCATAATATAAGGTCCACATTAGGAATCAAAGTCACATGAACTTTCTGAGTGGTTGAGCTCTTAGTCGTCCACATCCATGTGTGGTACGTTAATCATATTCATATACTCGAGTACTTAGCTTGACGTACTTGACCTAATATATATTTTGGAGTTGTCTCTCAATCCATGCATGCTTTGCACACATATAATGGACATTAGTTGTATACATGGGGACGAACTGCTGGTGCATCAACACTGTCTGAAGTATTATTTGCCGGTTAGGGAACTGAAATATCAACTCTGTCCATGATGGAAGGAGTTTATCAGTGCCTGATAATGTGACACCACGTTTTCGGGCCCAATTAAACTCTATTCACACAACCAACGCAGAGGCGGAATAGCAGGAAAGGCTCAAACTCGCTCCGGGGACCGACTGTATGTAGCCAAGCCAAGGTGTGCCAATGTTGAACCTCTCTTCATATTCTTTTTGGGGCCAACCGTGGCAATTGTCATTATCCAATGCTCCGTTATGAATGATGCATGAGATATATGGAGCAGGAGCAGCACTGTAGCAGATATCACATGCAGAAGAAGAAAAACTGTGATAATATATGGAGCAGATTAAAGAAGAAAACCAACAATGCCTTTGGCCGTTAATCGCCCAGACTGTGCAAGAAAAACTGTGATAATATATAGGGAACATACAGGCATTGCATAGCTTTTATTCAGGCGAAAATAAGGACATCACGTACAAACAAGATGAATCTTCCACTCGAAAAAAAATTAAAGATCAGAAACTCTGGATAGCAGCAACTCTCACACCAAATCCAATCTTAAACACTAACAACACACGCTAATAATCAAACAAAGAAAATCATGAAATGGTTGACGCAAATGAAGTAACATGAATGATGATATGGGTAAGAGAAACACACTTGGTATCAATAATTTCCACAAGCCCATCTCTTAGACTTGGGAACAGGAAGGAAGTATGTGATTCTTCTTCTCATCGTTCTTGTGGACGGGAAGTGCTTCTTCTAATTCTATTTCTTCTACTTTCTCTTCTTCGTCCTGAAACTTTGGCCTGTGGTTCCTGTCTGCCAAGGTCTCCATCCCCATCACCGCCAAGAGGAGCCAGATAGTGGTGAGACACTCCCCGCCATCACCCAAGCTCTTGGCGTGTAAGTAGCCCCTGCACCCGCTGGCAGAATAGCAGAGCATCTCCACCCACACACCTTGGATCACTATCCACCTAGCTTCCTCGCTATCCAGCAGCTTGCGTGCGTTGGAAATAATATTATCTGAAGATGGGGGCATCCTAAGAATCTCCCCTGCAAGAATTTCTTCTGTCATGTCCTTGCCAATTTGGTTGCTGGCCAAGGTGAAGAGATCCGATCTGCTGCCGAGCATTAGCATCTCAGGACGGATGAGAAGCAGGTAGATCATATAGTTGGATATCTCCCTGCTGCGCAATGTGGCTTCTGCTTGTTGACGACATTGATGGGATGTGTTGGGGTGGTAAAAGCATAGGTCCGTGGCTATGTGCCAGAGGAGGACGCTCTTGTCGAAATTCATCTTCAAGCTCCACCCTATTTGCTTGTGTCTTCTTAGAGCCTGCTAGCCTCGAAGCTCATTGAATTTCCTGTAACTTTCGGCGCCACATATGTAATTATTCCAACCATCTTCCACGTGCTGGCGAACCACCCCCGTGATTTGGTAGGCTCTAGCTTCTTTTTTAATATACCAATGTTGGTTAACAAACTCCCTTAGAAAGTTGAAGGCAGCAAGCTTCATCAAGAATGTGGGCTTCTTCTTGCGAACACAGAAGGACATGATGTTGCACTGAGATACCATGTCGTGCCACCCTTCAAAATGCTTCATAAGGAACCCCCCACTGAAAGATGAAATGCACTGGGCCAAAATCATGTAGGACAAAACCATGCAAGGAAGCAGGAACTCCAGCATGGCGGTGAAACAGAATAGGATGTATGTCACCGTGATGTCCTTCTCCTCGTGGCCATCCTTGCGGCTCGTGGCCAAAAGCACTATAGAAGATAAGGCCAGGAATGGAAGAAAAAACATGAAGCCGGACCCATATATAGTGCCAAAGGATTGTACTCTGGTGTACAGCATACTGAATGTATCTCCAAGCCTAGACCGCAACTCTTTGTATTCATCCTCATATTTACTGTGCATAAATCCTGACAGGACTTTAATCCGAAGAGAGTATGGAACAGACCGATCAACAAACATATAATTGCTTAGTGATCTAAGCCCATACCTTCCCCCGGACTTCTCCGTGTCCAGTAGACATTTCTTTGCATCTTGTACATATTCTTCAAGCGAATATGTACGCCCTTTATGTTCCACTTCAAGCGAAGCCGGCATGCTGTTAAAGCTGGCGGTCCTGAGGGCCCATGGCTTCTGGGCGAATTTGAGGATGCCAAATAGAATGAGCAAGACCCCTGCTGCCAGCAACCTCTTCTCGCCAGACCACCACTTGCAGAAGACGTACAAGGCAACCGTGACCTGAGACACCAGGGTTATGGTATGCCGTTTCCATAGCTCATTGTCTTCGAGGCTGTAGGCACTTATGAATGGCTGGCCGCCCAGGTGGATGAGGAGGACAGGCGCCCATAGAACCTCCAGGGCGGTGCTCCCCCCATCCAATGTCCGCTTCTGGCGGTTGAAGAGGGTTGCGAGGGCGTAGATCGCCACGGCATCGCTGCCTATGTAAACGATCCACACCAGCACTCTCATCCTAGACATGGAAGGAGATCTACGCAGCCATACACAGAGGTAGAGGAGGTACTGCATGAAGAGGCTGGCGAGGACAAGGATGCGCAGCTGCCACTCGTCCCACCATCCCACAGCACCTGAGAGACTCATGCATGCACTGGTTTTGCTTCCTCGTCCTCTCCGGGTGGTGAGTATTGTTAGTTTGTCTAGGAACAAAGATAGGACTGGAACAAGCAGGTCCTTCTTTAATGAAGGCTGCGCTCTCGAGAGAACGTGGAGGGCATTGTGTCTTTCGATGCTGCTGTGCCTTGCGTGCTGGTGGTAACTAAATACTCCCTCTCTTGCTCATGATTGATGCCATTTTATTTGCCTTTTGCCTTTTGCCTTTTGCTTTGGCTTTTGCTAAAGATTAAAGTCATCAGTGGCAAGATCTGGTCGTATTTGGTAACACTTGGCCGCTGGATTGCTTAAACTTGTCCCTGAACCCGACCTATAAGTAACTCAAGGTGTGCGCAAAGGGTGCTCGCGTCACATCTCCTACTAGCCTACAACGACAAATGCAGGTTAATCGTATTTATACGTTTCTTACGGACGGACAATTTTTTGAACTCTGGCATCTCTTACTAGCCAATTTTCAACAAGTGCAACTGAATTTTTACATCAGAAAGTTTTTTGGATGACAATTTTCAACCAATGAAGGTACGCATGCACCCCTACCTATGAGCACCAAAGAGATTGAGACGATAATTCTTGAAATTGACAAAGTCACCAGAAACACCTCGTAGTCCACGGAAACGTCCTCTCCATCTAGCTGAACATCGCTAGAAAGCATGAAATAAATCAAGTTAAATATAAGGACCCATGTCAGTTCACGCAGGGAATGAATATCATGTTTGGAAAACTTGAACAATGTTATATTACGATCATGAAAATTTTCATATAAATCATAAAAATATATACTATTTTTCCAAAATATTTTATAAAAAGTTATGTTATACTATTAACTAAGTGTGACTCCAACTTATCTATCCATCCACTGAAATGAACAAAAACCTAACGTTCAAAAAAACCTAATATACTACCGCCATTTTTATATACCTAAATGTTCTTGAGTTATATGTTGTGCTTTTCTACCTGTTTGGTCCGGCACCAAATTGGAAAGATCGCAATCTATCATATTGTGCGGTCCATGACAACTTATACATGCATCATGCCCTTTCTCATAATAAACTCACGTCACTCCCTTCCGTCGTGCAACCAGAGTGAAAACCTAGTAACTGCCAT